ATGAAAGAGGTACCTTGTTGCCTAGGTGATGACATTGTAGATACATTTCACATTTCTTTCTCTCTCTCTTTTTTTAATATAGCTCTTCTCCCTCCTTAGTTTATACTCCTCCCTCCCTTTTTTTTCTTCTTCAAGATTCCTCTAATGTTAACATCTTTGGCAGTTTGGCCAATGTTGACAACTACTTTTGATTATCTGGCATTTTAAAATACTTTTATTCTAAAATTATTTATTATAAACAAAATCCATGCAAAGCAAATGAATAAATGTGATGGTTCATGGAATATATGTGGAAATAAGTAGCTTCTCATATAAGTGAAAGAACTGGTGTTGAAAATTCCATGTAAAATTAGTTAAAATTAAAATTACATTTATAAGATTATTGAGTTTTTTTTCTGGACAGTGTTTTATTTAGTTGTTTGGGGATTGTTTGGATTTTAGTGTCAGGAATAGATTCTCACTAAGTATCAGATTCTTTATTAAGCAGTCATCATTTTAAGTCTTATGATGATGGGGAATCAGATGGGCTTAGGGAAAATTGGCTAAGTATGGAAAAATTACATAATGAAAAATTCCATCTACAAAGACGTATGATTGTTACTTTTCTTCTCCCTATGTCTTGATGGTTAGAGATTTGAGTTTAAGGAAAGCATGAAGTCACCTTAGGAAATCTGCAATGAATTTATTTCTATAATTGGGCAAAAGATTTAATTTTTACCAAACTTCCAATTAATAAATACAAAACAAAAAAGAAAAATCAAGATGGCTATACTTAGGGCAAACCGACTGTTCTTTATTTGGATTGGCTGTACTCCATCCCCTCATTGCTTTGTTCTTTAATCATATCCAATTTTTTTTTATTTGTTGGATCTGAAGGCTGAAACACATTACCCATTCTGTGTATCTGACCCACTGGCTATGTAGACACTAAACTTTAAGAGAAACATAGTAACATTTTTTATAGTCTAGAAGCTCTAATAATCACCAGTACCTCTACAAATACTCATTGATTGATCATAAAATGTGTGTATAGTTCCATTTTCTTGCTTTTGCAAATGGATCACCACTATTTTATTGGACGTTTTGCACAAACGTTTTGCAATGAAAAAATACATTTTGCCTTTAGTCTTGAAAGAAACTCAAGCTCATATTGTTGGAAATAGTTGAATATATATATGCATATATAATACACATTTCAGAATATATATATTTACTTTAGATTTATACATTCACACACCCATCTTTTGTAAATAATCATCTGAGAAATCCATTACTTAACATATTTATAGAGGTTGCAATCTATACCAAGGTATGAAAAGAACTGACAAACTCATTCTGTTGGAGCTTAAAAGGAAAAACAAAAAAGAACCAAAAACGAATTCTGGTATCTAATGCCATTTAACTTTGTTATCACAGCAATACATTTTCTTTTTTATATGGCACTGTGACTTCTTTGTGTTCACTGTGTTTTGCTATGCAGTATGTGCTTTCTTCATTCCCCATCCCGTTTTGCATCCTTTGATACCCCCTTCTCCCTGCCCCCAAGATGGAGTTTCACTCTTGTTGCCCAGGCTGGAGTGCAATGGCATGGCCTCGGCTCACTGCAACCTCTGCCTTCTGAGTTCCAGCGATCCTCCCGCCTCAGCCTCCCAAGTAGCTGGGATTACAAGCATGCACCACCACGCCCGGCTAATTTGGGATTTTTACTAGAGACAGGATTTCACCATGATAATCAGGCTGGTCTCAAACTCCAGCCTGACCTCAGGTGATCTACCTGTCTCAGCCTTCTAAAGTGCTGGGATTCCAGGTGTGAGCCACTGTGCCCAACCTGATACCCACTTTTTAAAAAATAACTTTCAATTTTGAAAATAAAACAATCCAAGAATACAATCATCTCTAACCATCTAGACATAGGGAGAAGAAAAGTAACAATCATACGTCTTTGTAGATGGAATTTTTCATTATATAATTTTTCCATACTTAGCCAATTTTCCCTAAGCCCATCTGATTTCCCATCATCATAAGACTTAAAATGATGACTGCTTAATAAAGAATCTGATACTTAGTGAGAATCTATTCCTGACACTAAAATCCAAACAACCCCCAAACAACTAAATAAAACACTGTCCAGAAAAAAAAGACTCAATAATCTTATAAATGTAATTTTACTTTTAACTAATTTTACATGGAATTTTCAACACCAGTTCTTTCACTTATATGAGAAGCTACTTATTTCCACATATATTCCATGAACCATCACATTTATTCATTTGCTTTGCATGGATTTTGTTTATAATAAATAATTTTAGAATAAAAGTATTTTAATTGTAGTTTGTATTGGTCACAAGTCTTTTCTTTGGTATAGGAAAACAGTTTTTTTTTTAAATTTTTTTAAAATGAGTATCTCATGTCTACCGTCATCTAAATTGAGGATATGTTAACATAAATGAAAAAATCATATCGATATCAAAGATTCAACTGAGTAACAGAAGTTTTACACTTGGATTAGGTTGAGTTGTGCAAAAGTGGCAGAACCTAAGAAAATGATATAACATTTATGTATATTATAATGAGTTTTGCAGCTTGTTTATGGGAACAGGTCAAGCATTAAAATGAGGACTATGGGGCCGGGCGCGGTGGCTCAAGCCTGTAATCCCAGCACTTTGGGAGGCCGAGGTGGGTGGATCACGAGGTCAAGAGATCGAGACCATCCTGGTCAACGTAGTGAAACCCTGTCTCTACTAAAAATACAAAAAATTAGCTGGGCATGGTGGCGCGTGCCTGTAATCCCAGCTACTCAGGAGGCTGAGGCAGGAGAATTGCCTGAACCCAGGAGGCGGAGGTTGCGGTGAGCCGAGATCCCGCCATTGCACTCCAGCCTGGGTAACAAGAGTGAAACTCCATCTCAAAAAAAAAAAATGAGGACTATGTTATGATTCACCCTTTTTCATCACAAAGCTTTTCGTAGTTAAGTTATAGAACTAGGTGATTTTTTTTTCCACTTTTTTAAGGAAGATGAATTTATTGATTTTATAGAATACCTTATTGTATTCTTCTTATTACTACTTTTCCCACTTTTTATCATAAGTATCTTCATTCCATATTCATCTCATGCAGGAAGTTATGTGTTTACTTTGTAAATGTTTTAGGAAGAATGATACCCAGTGATTTTATTGTTAGGTGCATATTACGTGATCTCTTTGGTAACAAACATGACTCTTTATTATATGACAGTTATTAAATACAGATACATGAGTAAATATGGAGCAGAGAAACAAAACTTTCAATAAGAAAGGTCTGTTGATACATTACATGGTTTTATATGTTGCAAATTTGATGACTTTCTCTATGTTAATTTTCCTCTATATTTTTATTGAGTCCGAAAGCACTTGCCTCCACCCACCTCCCAACACACACATGCACACACACACACGCACACACACACACAGGTGCACACACACATGCATAGTAGCTGAAGGTTCAAAATGAAAACATACGCAGTATGTACCTATTGATTTTTGGTCATGCTGAGCTAAAGGGAATATAAAGAAATAAGGTTTGTTAAAAACTGGAAAGTTATTTAGTATTTTGTATTTTAATTGCTTCTTTGCTATCTAGCACTAGTAGTTTTCTGCTGATTAATGTAATGTTGTAAATTTAAGAAATGTTAGCAAGCATTACAGGTGATTGATAGTATTATTCTGTAGTATGAAGCATGTTTTAAATCTTGTCAGAATCCCCAGATCTTAACACGGAAATTAAAATAGAGGTGACATGTGCATCTCTATTTTAAAGCACTTTGTCATACTACCACAAGTTTTCCTTCTAAAACAGACTTCATGAAATCTTCAGAATTCAGAATCCATTAATCCATTTGACTTTCTCTTTATTTCTTTTTTTTTTGTTTTGCTTTTTGTTTTTGAGACATTGTCTCACTTTCTTACTCATGCTGGAGTGCAGTGGCATGATCATGGCTCACTGCAACCTCTGCCTTCCGGCTCAGAGGATCACATCAGCTACTTGAGTAACTGGGGCTATAGGCATGCACCCCATGCCCTGCTGATTTTTGGTATTTTTGTAGAGATTAGGTCTTGCCATGTTGCCCAAGCTGGTCTCGAACTCTGGGCTCAAGCCATCTGGCTGCGTCAGCCTCCCAAAGTGTTAGGATTACAGGGATGAGCCACTGCGCCTGGCCTGACTCTCCATTTCTTATAACAGTACCTCTTAATCGGGAGAGCACATTAGAATTGCCCAGGGGGGTTCTAATATATGCACATATCTGGAACCCATCCTCAGAGAATCTGATATTTAGGTAAGAGTGGCAAGTATGTTTAACAAAAACTCTACATTGATTTAGATGCTTCTTTATGTCGTGTCCCAGCCAAACTTTCTTACTCTGTCTTGTATTATTTTCTCTGGTTACCCTCTATTCTGCTTTAACCATGCCAAAAATGATATAATACAAATACTTTTTCATTTTATGCATCTATTAATACTTTCGTACATGCTGTTTCTACCGCCTGAAACACCTTTTCCTTCCCTCTCCATCCTCCCTTTCTCTCCACTCCATTTCTTTTATCTGTCAAGCAATGAGTTTTCTTCTTAGATTCTCCTTTAGTGGCAAACCTTCCCTTACTTCCCCAGGTAGAAACAGACACTCTGTCGTTCGTGTTTACCATTTATATTTGATTATGATTTTTAAGTGTTCATCTCTTCCATTAATCTGTGAGCTCAGTGAAATCATGTAATTTATCTTACTTGTGTTTATGTTAAATGAATACACGAATGACTAATAAATTGGCCGCTTTGTTAGGAATTTAAATGTAGAGTGTTTTCATAAACATCGCTTTTAAGGGCCACATTCAGTTGAGATTCATGATCAAACACCAAGACATATGTTGATACCTACATAACATTATTTATCTTAACATATATTCTAAAAATTTTATGCATATAGGTATTTATTTCTTTTCTTCATTTTTTTTCCCTTGTACCTACAGACGAAATCTCACGAAACTGTCCCTTATCTTCAGTCACATGCTGGCAGAAATTAAAGCAATCTTTCCCAATGGTCAATTCCAGGGAGATAACTTTCGTATCACAAAAGCAGATGCTGCTGAATTCTGGAGAAAGTTTTTTGGAGACAAGTAAGTAAAAATCATTTTTATAGTTGCAGATCTATCTTTCAAGGGTCACTGCATCCTCCCTTCAGTTGCATATGATACATATTTCACTTGAGTATTTTGTGAATGTATTTCATTATTATTGATAAGCATTTTGATTGATTGGTCATTTTTCTGTGGTAGCCACCAAAGGTATGCCTCAATAATGCGATGGTGTTTAAACCATTAAGTAAATATTATACAATGTTATTTATTTCATGAGCATTCAATTGAGTTTGTTCTGAGAAGCAAAAGCATGTAACAGTCTTTATACATGAGAAGCTGGTAACTTCTTATAATTTAATATATAATTAACATACAAAATAAAAGGTAGACGGGAATAGAGACATTAAAAAATGGCATAAGTAAATTTCTCTGACAATTTAGAGGGGAATAGTTGCTTCAGGATCACAGCAACCAGGGACTCCTTCCTGGAGGAGGCGGTATGTTAAGCTTGGTTAAGATCTGAAATCAAGGTGAGAGAATGCACTGGCACCTGATCCAGCCTGTGTCTGTTTTACTACACAGATTATATATATATATGTGTGAACAAGATACGAGGATAACGTTATCACAAAGGTGTAGCATGTTGCAAAGTAGCTAAAGTTTTCTTTGGTGTATCCTACAGAGACACAGATTCTGGTGGGCTTGAAATGGAATGGAATGTCTAAAGTCAGCATAATTTATATAAAAGTTGGAAACTTTGTCATAAATTTCTTAGTATAATGATCAAGAGTAAGCATCCGGAGGCAAGTGGTTTCTTCAGTAGCCTTTTAAGGATCACCTTTAATGAGAGTCCTCAGACTCAGAATGTCCTAGAGCTTAGGCAAAGTTCTGGCTGGGTAGTAAGGAGGACGTGGGATTGCTTACATAGATTACTGTTTTAATCTTGTGTCAGAGGTCTGTATTTGTCCTTTAACTGATGAAATTAGACACAAGCATTGTTAGTATGTGCTTTTGTTAGTACGTTGATACAGTCAACCGCGGTATTGGTTTTCCTTTGTTGTGGCTGTTGCTGTTTTTCTTTACAAAGTGCTGTGTTTACTATAGCCACCACCAAGATTGGAATGTGCCTACGTAGAGTAATGTACATTTCATTAGGCACATAATTTTTTTGGCTTCCAAAACATTAAAGCCTATTTCTCACATTATAATAAAATGTATTGTGAATTATTTTTAGGCACTAAAGGAGAAAATGCCATTTTGCCATTAACATGGAAATTCTGTGTTGTAGCAATCTAGTTATTTAAGATGTTCCTATATTCATTGAGAAATGAAGAATTTTAGAAAAAAAGTTTATCCTTATCTGAATTAGAATAACACAGCTAAGAGTATACTAATTAAATATTTATTAATTGTAAGAAGCAGAATGGTCCTGCCAAGTTCAGGGTGTAGGAACTGAGAGGGTTTCCTGCAGTTGCAGTTCATGTATTAACATTGTAAGCTTGGCAAACGGTCGGTAACCTTCAAAACGAACTTTCTCTAAAAGTTTTAAGAGAATATATAGGACAAATTCATTGTGGTATTTCTTTTTGAAAACTGAAAATTCTGGTGAGCTATAAAATTGTTTACTTGTCATAAAGTCAATAAAAATGGAAAGATTGCTCACATGTTTTTTTAAGAGAGGAGTTTACATTGCTGGCACCTCAAGCCACAGAAAATTATGCATTTGAGACATCTTTATTTCCCTTTATTTATAACCACAGACATCAAGGGGCTGAAATTTCTTTTCAACTGCTACATGAGTGAAATTACTACTACATCAAATGAGGGTTTGTTGAAATAGTGATTACATACTTTCCCTACCTCCCAATTCTTTTCACCTTTGTCTCTTTTTACTGAATTAAGAAAGCTGCTTAATTTCTCTTTTTTTTTTTTGGATGAGTGCCAAATTTCATGCTCCTTTTGGAACTTATATGTATTACCATAGTCATCCAAATTAATGATTCTTTTATTAGATAATTGGCGAAAGTATCTTTTTATTCTTCCTAGGTTTCAACTTGTGGTTCCATAATATTTTATTCAATGAATGAACATATGCATGAATGTATCCTTTCAAAAAGTTGAATTCTTTTTTTTTTTCCATTATCCTCTAATACCGTTTGTATTTTCCCAAAACATAGTTCTCCTGTGGGAGTATGCCTGTCATTTTTCTCACTGTTCAATGAGGCCATGTGAGAATGCTTTCATTTAGCCTAACCAGTGCCTTTAAACTTGAAAACAGCATTAGAACCATGAATCCATTCATGAGGGCAAAGCCCTCATAATCTAACCACCTCTTAAATATTCCACTTCTTAATACAGTCACAATGACAATTAATTTTGACATGAGTTTTGGAAGGGGCATTCAAACTTCAGCACTGTTTTTTGTTTTGTTTGGTTTTGTTTTTGAAGATGTGGTGGTGCTACCCTCTCTGCTCCGGAAGGCAATGCCTGCCTTGTGGCCCAAGAGGACAATAACACATGTATCATGGCAAACTTGTTGGAATATTCTGTTTAAGGTCAATTTGTATGCAAACGAATATACTATTTGAACAGTGCAATCATGCTTCTGCTTTCATACCTTGTTGACCAGGAGATAGAAATCTGTAGGAAAACAAAAGTGACATTATTGAATAACTGTATCTAAGTATATTCAGCAAAATGAGACGATAAAAACCGAATCCTCATACTCTGGAATAATCGCTTATAATCTAGAAACTTTCAGCATGAAGCTCAAAAAGTATATTACTAGCTGCTAAAAAAAGAACATTAATGTGATTAGACTCTGGGTGGCAGTTACTTTTCTCAGCAGGTCAGGTAGCAGCTCATGAGGTACTTATTTAAGTACTTTTTGACATATAGAAAAGTGATGGATTGATTAAAGTGGTGACTTCTAAGATTTTAGTGCACCAGTCCCCTGATGATACGTAGTCTTTTATCCCTTACCCTTCTCTTACTCTTCCCCACCATGACCCTGAAGTGCATTATATCATTCTTATGCCTTTGTGTGGTCATAGCTTGGCTCCCACTTTTATTGGTTTTCCATTGAGCTGGAGCTGTGACACTCCGTTTATGGCTCTGCAGTTTCTGGAGTCTCCAAGCTTCTGAGTGCCACCACATTTCCGTCTTCCAGACATAGGTGCCCACAGTGGAAGCTACTTGCTATACATCAGATCCAGCCATTGGCTTGCCCAGAGCTGGAGCCTGTGCTGGTGCCTGGAGCTGCCCACCCTGCTACAGCAGCCACTGTGCTTGGCTGTACACAGTGGTTGGACTCTGTACTCACTTGCTCATGCACCACCTGCTGCTCCACATCTGACTCACTGTTGGCAGGTGTGGGATCTGTGCTGCTAGTGCAAGGTGAGTGCAGCCTGCCAGGCTGAGTTGGTCGAATGAGCCCAGCAGGCCGGAGCAAAACTTGAGTAAAGGTGCCACCGATCACAGAGGTTTCCGGCTGGAAAAGCGACACACAAACAATGAGTGACAGTATTGCTTATCTACACTATAGACAAAGTGTTATGAACTTTTTGACAAACAAAAATTGTCTATCATAAATACCCAGTGTCTATGTCTTTATCAGTACCAGGAATGTTCATGTATGAAGAAGAGTCATTTGATCTAACTATGAATATCCTTGGTAACTATGGTTACCATCCTATCAGAGGGGACTTGCTGTATGGTGACTATCTGACTAGAGTAGTTTTGATATGCTGTTTCTGTGGGTTGCTGGAAAAGAATTGCTTTTCCTTTACTGATAGAACAGCAAGAGTAACAATGGCCTGATAAGAATCGATCTTCATATTCTTAAAAAATGGAGTCATTATAAAAGAAGATTGGACTTAAGGAATAACTGTATACAAAATGTCAACAGACTTAGGAATCACAGTACTAATATTTTCTGTCCGTAATAAAATCAAAACATATCAAATATATTACAAACATTCTATTATCTTCTGAACGAAGCTTGCCCTCTATATAAAGATACGGATATTGAACAGATCTTAGTTGATGAAGGTGAATTTTCTGAAAAATTTACATAAAATTGAAAATAGAGTTGCGCTACTATATATAAAACATATTTTCTTTTTGTTTAATATGAGGATGACAGTATACATGTCTGAGCTACAGTGGATTTTAAACAACTACCACCATTATCACCACAGCACAAAACAAACTAACAATAAACAAACATGTCGATTTCCTTGTTTGTATTATGGTAGTTCTTTTGTTTATTCCCACATACCTGTTTTTTAGCCTTAGACTTTTTAGTGTGATATTTTTAAAAATTTAAATATATAAATTAAGTTTAAGATATATGAGGAAAAGTACACAAATTATACATGTAGAGTGAAAAATTTTTATGAAGTAAACATATCCATGTAAATGCTACCCAAATAAGGTAGTAGTAATTTACTACCTGCGTCTTGGAAGATACCCTCTCTCAGCCCATCAGAAAGTCCCACATAGTCACCGCCTGCCTTCATAGCATTGTAAAATCATACATAGTTGAAATCATACAAATTATACTCTTTTGGAAAAGCTGGCTTCTTCCTCTCTTTCATGGAAATTCAGCTCTGTGCTTGCATGTAGCAGTACTTTTGTCATTCTCCTTGCTTCATTGTATGGCTGTACCAAAGTTTACCTGTTCATTCCATTATTTTTTTATAAATTACCCCATCTCCGGTATTTCTTTATAGCACTGCTAGAACAGCCTAACACAGAAACTGGCTGTATAACATCAATTATAATTTATAGAGAAAAGAGGTGTATTGGGCTCGTGGTTATGCAGGCTGTATAGACATGGTGCTGGCATCTGCTTGGCTTCCAGGCAGGCCTCAGGGAGTTTTGCCTATGGCAGAGGGTGTATCAGAGCCTGCATGTCACATGTGGCAAGAACAGGAGCAAGAGAGAGCAGGAGGAGGTACCATGCACTTTTAAACAACCAGATCTTGTAAGAACTCATTCACTATCATGAGGACAGCACCCAGGAGATGGTACTAAACCATTCATGAGAAATAGCCCCCATGATCCAATCACCTCCCACCAGGCTCCACCTTCAAAATTGAGGATTACATTTCAACATGAGATTTGCGGGGAACAAATATCCAAACTATATGATCCAGAGTTTATATATGGGTACATTTGTTTTCAAAATTTTAGTTTTGTTCCATCTATTTGTCGATCCTTGTACCAATGGCACATTGTCTTAATTAAGATAAAGAGTATATACTTGTTAATGTTCTTAGTGAAGATTTCCTTTTTTGTTCTTGACTCTTGCATTTCCCCATAAAGTTCAGAACTAGTTTTCCTATCTGCTACATAAAAACACCTCCTGGAATTGTTTATTTGTTAAACTTTTAGACCAATTTGGGAAGACATCTTTGTAATATGAATCTACCATTAAAGTGTTATATACCTTTCTTTCTTTCTTTCTTTCTTTCTTTCTTTCTTTCTTTCTTTCTTTCTTTCTTTCTTTCTTTCGTGTGTGTGTGTGTGTGTGTGTGTGTGTGTGTGTTTATATTGTTGCGTTGCTCATTAATCGTTAGCTTTATTTCTATTTATTTGGGATTTTTAGATAGCATTATAAAAATCAAATGTTTAAATTTTCATTTTCTAATTATGGATAGCCAATATAAGAAATGCAACTGATATTTTATATCAATTTTGTGTTCAGCAACTGTGTTTAATTTTTTTATTTCCTATAGTTTAATCTGTAAACTTTTTTGTTTTCTACATAGAAAGCTATGTTATAAGCAGGTACTTCTTTGTGTTTTTCATTGATTCTTCTGTGATTATATATATTTTAAAGTTTTAGTATCTTTTTTTAGTACACTAGAGCATATTAGGCTTATAAAAAGAGTTAAAAACCATGAACAAATTCAGAAAATATATTTTTAAAATCACTTATAATCCCTTCCACAATCCAGTTACATTTCTGATACCTCCAGACATTATAGTTTAACGTTGGATCCTAAAGGACAAAATTTTAAAAATACTATTTCCATTTAGTAATGTCCCATGGACACTTTTCCATGACAATACATATTTTTTTTTTTTGCACAAAATTGTTACTAGTGAACATATTTGTTTTCTTTTTTCTTTCTTTTTTGCTCTTATAAACAACACTGCATATAAAAGACTTGTGGATGAGCCTTTGCCTATATTTTTTGGACATAATTTCCTTAGGTGAAATCCCTAGAAGTAGACGTTCTTAGTCATAATGTATAGGTTTTTGAAATTTGTTTCCAAATTACCTTCTAGAAGCGCAGTGTAAATTCTCATTCACACCAGTAGTATGCAGAAGTCCTGTTTGCAAACACCCTGGACTCTATTAACATTCACACTTTGTTGTATGGAATGTTTTTTGTTTTTTTCTTGTCAGTTGAAACTAAAACCCTTTAGCCTTTTATGAACTAGCGGTTTCATGAAAATGTTTTACCTTTTTAAAAAAAAAATCAATATCCTCACACATTCTGTCTTTCATTTTCCATTCCTCTTTTTTCTTAAAATCACAGGGTTTTCAAATTAGAATATCTAATACGCGTCTCTACATTTACACAGGAGAAAACAAGCCTGGAAGATGAAGTGATTTGTCAGTTACTCACCAGCTGACACCTTTCCAGATTTATTTCTCTGCATCTCATTAATCCCATTTTCTTTGAAAGGATACTGTTTTTCAAGACTGTTAAAGAGGATTACTATTGCTTTTTGGTAGACAGACTAGAACTCATTATCTAATCACAGTAATATAGTCTTATTTATCATAGTCTTATCTCTTATGACATTATATGAACAGAACTATACTTTGCTATACTTCACTTTAGCAAAGAGTCATCAACAGATTTCTGTATGGTAGATAAGTGGTAATAAACCATCAATAAATAGCAGTTCTTATTCTTATTTGAAATAAAAAGATCCTGAAATTATATTATTATTATAGGTGCATGGCTACCCATTGGTCTTGTAGTCTATTCTTTGTAGATTGACAGTTGATTATACTTGTTCACTGTATTTTAAAAGCAATTCAGCTTGCAACTTAAGTGGTTTGTAATTGTAAGGGACAAATAGAACATATTGAAATATTTTTGGATTAATCAAAGGGTTGGAGTTTAGTTGGTCCTTTTATACCTCCCTCTCTCTCTGTCTCTCTCTCTCTGTCTTCCCTTTTCTTTTTCCCAGGTCTCTGCCAGCATACTGAAATTTCTACATTTGTAAAACAGTTTGCTATTAATATTTTCTCTCACTTGCTTCATCTTTAAAGGAAAAGGTAGTAGAAACCACCACTGTCGTTGTGGAAATTGAAATAAAAGTGTGAAAATTCATGCTCTCTGGGTTCCCTTCCTCCCATACACCTCAGAAAAGAATGTGGTAGCCACTTAGTCTTAAGAAGGTTTAGAGCCTTACTGCAACAGTTTAGAACAATCTCATCTGTTTGTTTGTTTTTAAAGACTTTGTCGTTGCACTTTTTTTCTGTTCTTCATTCATGAAATCCCTTTCTCCTTACCTCTGCTCCCCTCCCCACCTCTTACACATAATGGGTGTTTTGCTGAGGAAATTAAAGAACGGGTATCTGTCGTACAAATGTTTGTATATGAAAAGGTAACTAAATAATGCCCTGGCTTCCTCATCCCTGTTACTACTACTCATCAAAATTCCAGTGAATGCTTGTTGGGATTCGCAGTTTATCACAAGTAATCTGACAAAGACTCATTTACACAAGTACTGTGGAAATGTAGCTTGTCCTTTTGTAAATTATTACGAAGGGGTACGCTAAATTAAAATTTTTTTAAGTTCATCTTGTAGAAATTGCTCTGGGAAATCACTGGGTACTCAAGACAGCTATGAATTGAATTCAGTGTGAATGCTAGATTAGAATAATTTTTATAGTAACAGATATGGAAGGTGTCTATTTGGCCTTTTTAAAAATCATTTTATATGTTATACACAAATATTGACAGTTTGGCCGCTTTATGTTGTATACTTTATATACAAAACGAAATGCTTTAACTTCTTCATACAAAAAATAAAATCGATACTGTTCTTAAGTCAGTGGTTCTCTGATCATATTTTTTTTACTCTGAGTATCTTGATCAGTGTCCTTTTTGTGTGTTGAGTATTTGAAACTAATTTGGAAAAGAAAAACTTATTCTGAGACATTAGTTTTATGGTAATTATAATGAAGCTGTACATAATTGCGTATTTATACTTCATTGTAAATGAAAAGCTTCCTAATACTCTTTAAAGTGTTCCTCATTCTTATAAAACAGCAGCATTTTGTGAACCTTAATCAGAGCCTGACGTGTTTCTTCTAAATGGCATCTGATGTGGTATCTCTCCTCAGTTCTCTGTGGTTTCCTGTTTTTTTCATACATAGAGAAAAACTTTTTGAGGTATTAAGCCTCATATTTTCCTTATTTTAATGACCTCAAACCTAAACTCTCTTGTAAATACAGCATAGTGTTGTCAACCTGTCTCACCATTGGTTTATGCCACTTTCCACAGAGGAATTCTCTTGAATTCCTCCAGCTCTTGCTGTGTATCCATCAGCCAACTGGCATGTCCTTATCTACCCTACTCTAGATTCTTTAGCATTACAGCTTTTACTTCTATCCCTAAAGTGGTTTTTCAAAGAAAGAGATGGTATCTTTATTTCTATAGCTTTATTTCCCCAACAATGCCTTGTTTTAGCAATTAGTAGATACAGTAGCAGGCTCTGAAAGTGTTGTCTCGAGAGCAGCAACGACAGCAGCAAGGAATATTTTATAGCTGTCAATTCCCAGGCCCCACCCCAGTGCTACTGAATCATAATATCTTGGGTTGAAGATCAGGCTGTGTTAACAAGCCCTTCAGATAATTTGGATGCATGCTGAAGTTTGACAACCACTGCTCTAGAAAGTTATTGAATGAATATCAAAGGTGTATCTTTATGGTGATATCTTATTGAGAGGATTGGTACAGAATGGGGCCAGGCAGACTTGAGTTTATTCTACCCGAGACTTGTATTTTGGAGATACTGGTAGAGAGAAACCTAAGATTTAAATATTTGCTATCTTATAAGAGGATGCTATCTTATAAGAGGGATGGCTTTTACGCTATTCTGTTGTGAAAATTGTAGTTAAAATTTTTTAAACTGAATGATTTCTTTCTTATGCCAAATAAGAAATAGAAATTATTCTGAAGCGGGAAGGTTAACTAAGAAATGCATCCTGGTGTCACTAATTTTCATGGTGGGAAAGAGGGTACGTGAGTTGGAAACTGATCAGCTAGGGGATAGGTTGAGAGACATTTTCCTAGATACCATTCTGTGCTTGTTTTTTGAATCATGTAACTGCATTACATGTTAAAATTTTGTTGAATGATATTTAGTCAAAATGAATGAATAAATGTTGACTAAACTCCCATGATATAACCATTGTGGTTGGTTTAAAAATTGTTTTTCTTTTGTATTAATATGAAGAGTTAGATAACATATGCTTTTCATCCCTGCAGAAAGCGTCAGGATTGTGGCAGAAATGTCTTGATGGCTTTCTACCTTAACCTCTTGAAATGGTTGATACATATTACTCATGTGTGCAGTGAATAAAGGATTTCTGTTATATGGATCCATTATCTTACGATTGTTTTAAGAAAATAGATAATGAGAATTAAATCTTGATTCATTATTTAAAAACCTTGTATACACACATGAAGAGGTCATGACACATAAGACTTTGACCTAATACTTTTTATTTTCAAATATCTTTCTATAGCTATCTTGATAGCCAAGGACTGTTCAAAAGAAAATTAATTTAAAAGTTTGTCATAGTCTTAGCAAATGCAAATTAATTGAGTTAAACAGAACCCACTACATTTGTTCTGAAATAGGAACAATATTCTCAAATATTTGTCTGTTAGTGCAAATACAATTATATTAAATCTGTTATTGAATTGTGCTGCTTCAAAGGGAGGTATTTCTTAAATGACACTTGATTCAATTATTTTCCTTTTTTTCCACCATGCACAGAACTATTGTACCATGGAAAGTATTCAGACAGTGCCTTCATGAAGTCCACCAAATTAGCTCTGGCTTGGAAGCAATGGCTCTCAAATCAACAATTGATTTAACTTGCAATGATTACATTTCAGTTTTTGAATTTGATATTTTTACCAGGCTGTTTCAGGTAAGTTTGTACTTGCTTAGTCTACCCATTCTGTTCATTTGTTTCCCCCACTCCCTCTCTCTCCCTGTCTTTTCTCTCTGACTCTCTCTTTCTGTGTCTCTCTCTCACACACGTATATAAACAAGCATATGGAAAATAGTGTCATTCCTATTAGTCTGTAGTTTTATTGGTATGTTTGGTCATTGCTATAAGTTTACAGTGAGCCGTTGGCTTAAGTTTGGAGTATCAGATGCTGTAAGCCTGGTGGCTGCTTGTCAGCTTTGAGAGGATCCATCCAAAAGATTGTTATTTTAAACTCTCTACTTAGTTTCTCACTTTATTTTGTTGATCTTTTAGCACAACGACTGATATAATGCAACAACTGCAGGTTGGCATTTGCCAGCAAGATCTAAAATCTTTCCCTGCATTTATTAGATGAAAAGGGAAATAGTAAACTTTGAAATATCAGACTAGTCTGTATAGGACAGAACTGTATCCTATACCTATTTTATAAATTGCTTTCCTCATTCAACCATGTGTAATGAACAGTTTTCAATGTCAATAACTATTCTTCATCAGTTCCTATGTTATATTCATTCAAACTAGTATGTCAGTATTAATGAAGCTGTCTTTTGAAAAATTTAGATTTTTTCCCGCATTTTCTCGAAACAACTTTAAGATGAACATTTTTGTTCTGTTTATTGTTTTTTTTTTTACATTAATCTTCCATAAGTGTTTTAACATAGCAAATCAGAAGAAGGTAGCATTATATGGATGCTATCATTTTCTTCTTTGTGTGTCTTAATGGAATTACCTTAAAAATGAAGGCTTGAAATTTGTGTTTTGAGGTTGACTCTGCCACTAAAGTGTGTATCATCTATGGGATTCAGTTCAGGTAGTCACAAAATAAAAAATTTCTGCTTAACATTTTTATGATTTAGTAACATAAATTATATGATAAGTGAGGTAAATTGATCAGACTAGGCTTATATTCTGATACAATGTTTTATTATAATCTGAAGTAACATTTATTCTCTTTTAAATGTGCTTTCAACAAATATTAGAGTACAATACTGTTGGTTTCATGTTTTTCATGTTACGTGAAATTTACTTCTCTGATTTATAATTCTGTTTGGCACTAGCTAGCAAGGATTGGATGACTGGTTTATGTAATTAAAACCACATTGCACAGGATTACCTTTTAATTTATGAAGAATCCCATTAATAGAAGAGAGATTAACTCCTGTCAACAATACATATAGGATATATTTCACTTTATTACAATTTCCAAATCATAATGCTACCTTGCATATAGGGTAAGCAACTGGATAAATCACTGATGAAAGTGGGCTTTTGCTTATTTTAAATTTGCAAGTTTCATGATTATCCCTGGGTGTGTATGTGTGTGTATGCACACACATACATACATACATGTAAATAGTTTGATATTTTTTATTTTTCAAAGATTTTAAGATATATTTTAGAAAAAAAGTTGTTATATGGTAATTTTTTAGTGGAGCCTCTCCTTTAAAGGTTTTGATAACTTTACAGTATATCTTATTTATTTAACATGATACAAAGACATTCTAAATAGGAAGAGCTTTACTTCTTCACCTTGTCAAGGAGAAGGTAAGAGAGTAAAAGTAATCTGCCTACATTAAACCTAACTGCTCATTCTAGGAAGTGAGTATATTTTTGTGGTGAGCATGGATGATTTTTTAGTGTGGGTATTAAATGCTAGAATTCCTTGGAGTTATATATTTAAAGTGTGAGGGTGACTTAATGTTGGTTAAACACTTACCTAAACTGCTATTTAATATGTGGACATATTTTCTTATAAGCTATTTTACTTTAAAAGAGCTCAAGTCAACCTTAATATTCTAAGGAATATATATCTTATGTACTTTCACTGGGATGGGAAAGGAAAGGGCTATTTTTAAGTCAAACTACTGTGAAAAGTTCTAGATAGTAAAATGAAACTCTTACCTGGGCCAGGGAATGCCTAATCTTTTTAAAAACTTGATTACAGAAGCAGCTGAAGAACTCTTGTTAGCCCCTGTGTATTTCTGAGAGCTACCATTCCTTTTATTTCTATACGCATCAATCAAATGCTTTGAATATAATCATACATGTGCCTTAAAGTATAAAATTGGTTCTGTGTATAGAGAAGTAGATGGTGTAACTTTTACTGATCTTTTACTTTTACACAACTTTAAAATTTGAGTGATTATTTTCTTAAATGTATTATATCTGTTAAATCCTTACATTTATATATTCTATATGAAAATATGTTTTGTTAATACTCTATGACTTCAGGAACATACATTCTGCTATAGCCATGATATTAGTAATTAATTAGCAATGACTTCTTCTGACCTTAAATTATTGGAAGTGGGGTGTTTAGCAGAATGTTGAAAGTGAGCAACGTACACACTTTTAAAGTTTAGGGTCTGAAGTAGAGGAACTAGCAGAAGGGTTTGAAGAAGGAGTCAGCAGGGGCCAGGAGATGAAGTTGAGAATTGCAAAGGGAATGAAAGAAGTAAAAATGTTTTCTTCTTCTTGGCTTCCATTCGCATATGCAGGCAGAACCTGAACAAAATGCTTGGGTGTCACTGGAGACATCTTAGTGTGGTCACCATCCTCATTTCCTCTTCTTCCTTCTTTCCTTTCCTTTATCCTTCTGTTTTCTCTTAAAGTCACTTAGGGATGCTGGAATCATCACATGCTAATGTCCTGGAAAGGAATTATGGGGATTTTGCTTCTCTCTTCCTTCCCCCCTGGGACTACTGTTTCCTTTTTCCTCGATATCCCCACTATTAGAAAAAAATGGGGTCACGAAGAAATGGGGCACTAAATTTGGGGGTAGCAGGATACGAAGGAGTGTTTTAGTAGAATGTTCTAGTGACTATGGAATATATAGCATCAATGGAATAGTGAAAGAAGAGGAAAGTCCTCAGTTGTAGCAAAGAATCATAGATAGTGTCTAGGCAGACCAGCCAAGGACCATCTTCCAACTTAAGCTGTAAGTGAGAAACTAGCTCTTCTTGAAAAGAGTAGCATTTGGGAGAATGGAGGGACTTGTCTCCTTTATTCACTTCATTAATTTCTATAGTCATTTAAAAGTATCTAGATAATTTTATGTTCTTGTATATGAAAAAAAATTTTTAATCCGGAAAACAAAATGAAAAAAAAATTATCATCCAAAGCACTTTGTTTTACCTTTTTTAAGCCAGTAGTCATCAAAATATTTTAGAAAGAAAAAGCACGTAAGTGCTACGTGTTTCTGTTTTGAGTGGGCTGCATGCAAGAAAAACAATACACAGACTCATTCTATTACATAAATAGAATATTTTTAGCAATTAGAAGCTGGCCCTCTGGATTATGTACTGAGAAATGGTTGCTAAATACTGTAGCAGTTGGCCCAAAACTCCAGTTTAACTTTTTTTACTTGTATTTTGATCTGTGCATTGGTGTTGTATAAAGTTCAGCATTGTTTTTCATCCACTCTTCCACTGGTTTGTGCAGACTTTAATGGAAGTGACCCACATATTTGCTTGATATTTCTTCCATCCTTGCCCTTTGTAGATGGGTAGAACAAAACAAAAACTGGTGTCTAGAATATCAGTTATTGCTCAGGTTTTTAAAACAAATGCTGACATTTCCCAACTAATGTTTAATGCAGTTTTTAGTCATGCCTTAGGAAGAAAATTAAAAACATGCACTTTTTTTTTTCAAATATCGTAGAGAGAACCTTTCATATTGTTAGTCTCTAGAGCGCCTTTCTTGCCCAATTAGGTATTTTAGTGTGACGGAGAAATACCCCGAAGATTTTTCTTGTTATTTTGAAAAAGGCTTAAAAACTTTGTTATTACTAAATCATTCTTTGTTATCCTCATCTCAAGGGATATAATCCTTGAAGAATTCTGCCTTGTAAATTTGTAACTTGCTTAACAATAATGAGGAACAAGTCTCAAAACAAACAAATGCAGGACGTTTTTACCAGTAATCATGTCTAAGATGACTGTTTTAACAGCTTTAACTTGGCAACATGAAAACACTTTTTTTTTCTTTTATGTAGAAGGTTTAATAATCTGGCACATCAGATAGAGTCTGCTGCCAGTTCCTTGGAATAAATGTAGCTTCAGCTTTAAAAAAAAATTGCAGAGATGATTAATCCATACCCTTGAGTAAAGTTGTCTCTCACTGGCTGCCTTTTTTCTCTTGCCCTGGTAACTGGACAGACAACTAATCAGATTAAAGAGAGAATCACAGAGTGATACAAACCAAATATTTTTGTGAAAGGATTTTTATGTCACTCACTTTTAAACCCAAACTTTTCCTAATTGTATAATTACGAAAAGTCAAGCCAGATGTGACTGCAGTGCTGTTAACACCAGCCTTTTACACAAGTCAGTGTTTAGCGGATCTGTTCAATGACAGTTATCCCTGGCTGATCACTGTTACCTGACACTGCAGTGGTCCTGGCATCTCATGCGTGAGCAAGACAGGCATGTTCCTTGCCCTTGTGTAGCTTATGGTTAATGTATAACCTTTGCCAAGTCACACAGATTCTATGATATGGTTTCTTATTCTGTAAAATGAGGCAGTTCTGAACAAAACAGGCAGGGAGGTGAGGAATATGGCAAGAGGTAACAGTTTTAAATATGCTGGTCAAAAAAGGATTCACTGAGGAAGTGACATTTAGAGACAGGAATGAAATGGATATTTGGGGGAAGAAAATTCAAGTGAAGGCAGCAGCAAATACAAAGGCTCTGAGGGGAAGAGGGCTTTTGTGTTCCAAACAGTAGTGGAAAGGCTCACGTGGCTGGAGAAAAGGCAGAAAGTGGAAGGGTTAAGGTAGATGGAGACAAAAGGGAACTGCTGGAGATCAAACCCTTTTAGGTCATATATGAGGACCTTGGCTTTTATTCAAAGTTAGAAGGCTTTGAACAAAACAATTATTTCATTTTTGTTTTAAAATGGTACCAAGTGCTGTCGTGAGAATAGGCTGTGTAGAGAAGAGATTATGTGGTTTTCTGTTTTGTTCTCTGTATTCTGTTCCTGAAAAATCTGTTTTCTACCTAATTATATTTCTCTAAGAGTAGACTTGCATGTCTGCTGTTAGGTGACAAAGGTTGACCTAAACCACATAGGTCAGATTAACTTTTAAAATATCCAAGATAATGTTAAGTATATTAAATGATGGGTCAGTGTGTAATCAATACTTGATATTCTCTAGATAATCTCTTTTGATTTATTTATTTTTTAGCCTTGGGGCTCTATTTTGCGGAATTGGAATTTCTTAGCTGTGACACATCCAGGGTACATGGCATTTCTCACGTATGATGAAGTTAAAGCACGACTGCAGAAATATAGCACCAAACCTGGAAGGTAAGACTTTTTAGCAGTCATATTATGTGTTCATCCAAAGATGAAAAATTCTCCATGGTTTGTTCCTCAGTAAGTCAGTAACACCTTCTGACGGCATGCCTGGGAAGTGGGTAGAAAGCTAAAAGACCAAAATGGCACTTCTTCATCTAATCCTTTAAACTGATACATTATGTTTGCTCTGAAACTTAGTGTTTACAAAGCAGAAGGGGAGATGGTCCCCTTTCTGTTTTCATGATATCTGGGTTTTTGTGCAAAATTGTATGTATATGTTTGAATTCTTGAATGATGTGCTAAAGGAAAAATAAGTGCAACAGTCTTACGTTCATTACTTTAGGATATTTTTAAGACATTCATTTAGGCTCTATGATAAACATGTAAGTACATATACATGCACATGAACACATAAATATATATGTAAGTTTATGAACAAATACATCTATTACATAAGCATTATAAATCTATTGTTACAATCAAAACCAATTTCATGTCATTGAAAACTTTTTTCATAATGCCTCATATTTTATTGTAGCCTCAGAATTTATATTGTATTTTCCAAATGATGAGACTAATGAGACTTGAAGAGGTTGGTCAGCCCCAGCGGCCTCGGCCAAGAAATTACACTTTATTAATGGCAAATCTGGGTCCAGAAAATCTATCTCTTCCACGGTTCAATACATTTTCCTGTATATTTCATCTAACAATGTGTTAGGCACATAGTAGGCGTCTGTGCTGCGGCAGGCAGTGTGCTGAGTACAGCAGTAGGGACATTAGAGAACTGCTTGTCAGAGCCCTCACACTTCAGTAGGAGATGCTATTCCAGTGTGCATTAGTGCACTGATTTTCATACAGAGACCATTTCATTTTAGAGATAAATTTGGTGGTGTTTTTTAGTCTACCTTTTTTATAGTATCATTTTTATTTGATTTATAGTGTATATAATGTTCTCTATAATTTACAGTGTGTATAATATACTTTAAAATAATTTAAGTACCAGCCAATTCTGCTGATTTGTTTTCTCTGCATAATAAAAATGTCCATGTTTTTGTCTTTGTAAGAATTTATATAGTAGATTTGAAAAAGGAGCTAGTGAGTATTAAAAAACAGTTTGGCTTCCACTGAAATATTCTGTTTAAATGAGGAGAGTCACTTCTCCTAGTGACCATGAGAGCAGATCAGTTAGCTGGCACGTTGACAGCGGTTTAGCTGAATGACTTTGTTCATCCAGAAATCTCTCATGGCCAGTTATTTCCAGTTTTGACTCTCTTGATTGACATTATATAAAGTATCTTTCTTGCTCCTGGAGTATGATTTGAAAACTGTGTTGTGGTTGGAATTATGTGATTATATAAATTTGGCATGTAAGTTATTTGATAAATTATCTTGTCCACTTATAAAAATAATGAGGAAACCAAGGCCTTTATTTTTTGTTTTGGTTTCTTGTTCAATCTCGTGGAGAACCTGAATTACAATGTTGAGAACAAAAGCCAGGTCTCACTACTATTTGGAAAAGTTCACTTAGTAAAAACTTAGTGCCCTCTGATAAGAATATTTATAAGACCCACCAGAAAACGGATCTTCAAATGCGTACAATATATACATTTTATACAGCTTTTTTGTGTATCAGTCATACCTTAGAAAACTACAACACTGTCCTCTGGGGCAAAAGAAAATATTTCTTTTCTTTGTAACTTTCCATGTAATGATTTCTTCTAAATCATAATTTAGGTAGCTAATGATAAAATGAATATAACAAATTATAATGTGTAAAATATGATGTGTATACTTAAGATGTATTTAGGAAAACATTCTTAATGAATAAAAGTGTAACAAATATTTGCTTTGGAGAATATCTGTGTTTAACATTTTTTTTTTAATCTTGGAAAGTATTTCATGTCTTTGACTTCATGGTATAGAAAACAATTGGATTTACTTCAAGGACATTTTGACTCCTAAGTTGTGCTTTATTATTGGGGATTCATCTGAAAAACTATGAGTTACCTGGTGAAGGTAATAATATTTGGGAATCTAAGTGAAATATTCATTAGGTGACTTTTTAGGTGACAAGAGTGGCCTTGAATCCCAGACCACCACATCAACATGAAAGATACCTGATTTTTATATGTGTGTGTGTATACATATATATGTGTGTGTGTGTGTGTATATATATGTGTGTTTGTGTGTGTGTGTGTGTGTATATATGTGTGTTTGTGTATATATGTGTGTGTGTGTGTATTTGTGTGTGTGTATGTATGTATTTTTTTGAGATAGTGTCTCACTATGTTCTCCCAGGCAGGAGTGAAGTGGCACTATCTTGGCTTACTGCAAGCTCCACCTCCTGGGTTCAAATGATTCTCATGCCTCAGCCTCTCAAGTAGCTGGGCATGCACCACCATGCCTGGCTAATTTTTTCTATTTTTAGTAGAGATGATATTTCACCATGTTGGCCACACTGGTCTCGAACTCCTGGCCTCAAATGATCCACCTGGCTCAGCCTCCCAAAGTGCTGGTATTACAGGTGTGAGCCACCACACCCAGACCAAATTTGATTAAATTAAGCATGCTGTTTAAGAGAGCAGAGAGCTAAAAAATAAGGCAAAAATTCACTTGAGCTTGGAAAAGGGTAGTCACTAGCCAAAGGGTCAGCAGCAAATTAAATGGAATAGGAAAAAAGCACATGAGAGGAAGAAATTGTTCTAAAAAGCCCTTGCTTCTTACCAGATTGCCGGTATTTCTATCTCTTAGCTACATGAGTTACTTGAACCTTCTCTGTGGTAATGTGTTTTAGAAACACCATCCTAAAACAATGTTTAGAGCAACAGAAAAGGATATGATTAAAAACATGAGCAATTTCACAAGTATATATTTCAGTGTATACTAGATTTTTGGTATAAGAACAAATTTGGCATTATATTTAAAATTACTATCAATGCAGATTTGTAATTATTTTCTTTATGTTAATATACTCTATAAATTTTATTGAGATTCATAGTATGCAGATTTTTAAGATTTCTATTTAACTTTTGACTTTTAATTTGAAGGAATTTTATCGTATTAATCTTTTTATGTAACAGTTTAATAATGTGCTTCTGAATTTTAATTTATAGTGACTTTCTATCATTTTTGGCACGTCTCATAACATCACAGCCATAGTCTCTGTGGCATTATTTTATCTGATTTTGATTAAGAATGCTAGTAATTGACAGGTTGTATCCTATTTTCAGCCTCTCTAGGGATTTATGTTTTTAGACTTTTTTGAAAAGTTCTTTTCAAAGATTGTATCACCAGTATAAAGTTTTTAATATTTAAAAAATCACTTCTTTCTTTTTTTTTAAAATCCTAGTTTGTCAAAAGGTTAAATCACACTCCACTACTAAATGTACAAGTTAATTAAATCCAATGACTGCAGCCATTATGTATGTTAAAATGTATCTTTAAAGTTACATTTATATTACTTGGTCCATGAATAACTAACATATATTACGAAATGCTTATATCTGCCACATACATACAGCAACTAGAGTGTTAAGATATAGCCAAAAGATTTAAGTTGGCTTATTTTTGATCTACTTAATGGGTAGTGAAATCTAGAAGAATATCCTGATAGACTGAATCCAGTACACTTAAATAAAGAGAAATTATCTATTTGTGTGTGTGTGTGTGTGTGTGTGTGTGTGTGTGTGTGTGTGTCGAGGGCTGAAGAGAAAAGATGTAATATGAAATAAGTATATAGGTAACGAATGAATAAGTAAAGGATAATAATGGATTTAAAGCCAAGTTGCTATCTTCTTTTGTTGGAGACTAGTTTCAAGGACTTGATTTGATTTATATTTTTGAATTATCTTAACTTCCCATTTTAAGATACTAAATTTAGTTAGATAGTATCACATAATGCTTGGACGGCAGCCATGAACTTACCTAGTTTGCACTTTTGAGCTTTAGTTATGAATGGCTGGAATACCTAAAAGTTTTGAAAAGTTATTTAATAACTAATTTTAATGTCTAAATTAGAAAGGAATATGTCAACTTGTCAACTTCTATAGTAGACACTGGCTCAGTTTTTATCTGAGGCAAGCACATTAAATTTACATTTTGACTGACTTATTTTATTTTTACATTCCAACAGTGATTGATTTTGTAGCAGTTCCACGCCATCAGCACTTCTATACACAGCACCCTGGTGACGATGGTAGCAAATCCCTAGAGAGTTTACTATCTTGTTTATTTTCTCATATATATCTGGAAGTATTTAAATAAAAAGAAATGATTAGTGTTTCTCTTCAAATTGATAAATGGAGAAGTACAATGTTGTTAAGAATAAGTTAAAAGATAAAATATGAGGAGTATTCAGGTATCAGGCATTCCGAATTATTCTGTTTATTCTTTTGCTTGAAAGAAACCTAACAAGTTGTTTAGTACTGACTTATATTCTGAATGTAATTAAATGTAGTTTTCTCATGTTTTGCAGCTACATTTTTCGGTTAAGTTGCACTCGATTGGGACAGTGGGCCATTGGCTATGTGACCGGGGATGGCAATATCTTACAGACCATACCTCATAACAAGCCCTTATTTCAAGCCCTGATTGATGGCAGCAGGGAAGGATTGTAAGTATAAGAATTGGGAATTAGAGGGCTTATGATTCCCGAATTTGAAAAATAAAAATTGCTTTGTGATGGAGAGAATGGATAGTGAGGATGCTTTTTACCTTAAGACTGTTTAAGATAAAATAAAATCCAGAATAATGGATGCCCCTTAGTTTTTTTGTTAATCTCTTTAAATAGTCATTTTAAGGTAACTAACTACATTATAGCAAATACATTTCAACTTCAGATTACAACATGAATTTTTACCTTTCATACAATAAGAAGTTGGGACTTAAAGATAGTTTTAAAATAGATGTAAAACTGTTTATATATTAGGAGAAAATGATGTAGAATAAATTACCTAGAATAATTTACTTGTTTCCTCATATAACCCTTAGATTACTTAATTTCACCTTTTTATTTTGATTGTTAGTGCCAGAGTTTCTTTTCTCTTTCTTATTCATTTCTCCCTCCACCCCTTTCTTTTCATTTTTTTTCTCTCTGTAGATCTTTGTTGGGCCCCTGTGGATAACTTAGCTCCAGTTTTGGGCAAGTCTTTCAGGGTTCTGAGTTTTTTTCTGGGGCCCCACGTTTGGTGCCAGATTATTGTCCGCAAAAAGAGTCAAACTCTAAAATATTTGAAGAAATTAATTCTGAGCCAAATACGAGTGACCATGGCCTGTGACACAGCCTGTGACACACAAATAATGACTCCATATTCCAGGACTATATGTTCATAGCTAAGTTTAGTTTATCTCAAGCTATTCTTTTTTAAAATTTAAAAATAAATAACTTCTTTGTTTTTTAGATTAATAATGAATTCTACCCCACCCATTCCACACACAAAGTTTTGACAATCTGTTGGGTCCCTTCATAGAAAATGTATCTGGTTCTTCTTATTTGTTTTATTGATCATGCCATTTCCTTCATCCTCTCCTTGTGTTCTTCTTCTCAGTGTCACTTTGTCATGCTGCTTTTTCTTCCCCTCTGTCGGCCTGGGTAATTTAGAGATGCTTGTGATCAAACTCATTGCAGTATGAATTGTGATAGAAACCTAGCTGGAGAAAGTCCACCTGAGTTAACAAAGAGCAAATGATTTGAGTTTTACCTTTTTCAAAGAAATTGCAAAAAAGAAAGAAAAGAAAAAAAGTCATGAGATTTATACAAAGAAAAAGCAGGCATTTTTAAAAACCTATGAGCTTTTGGGTGGAAGTGGTGGCTTACATCTGTAATCCCAGCATTTTGGGAGGCTAAGGCTAGAGGATTACTTGAGCCTAGAAGTTCGAGACTAGTCTGGGCAACATGGCAAAACCCTATCTCTTCAAAAAATGCAAAAAAATTAGATGGGCATGGTGGCTCGTGACCATAGTCCCAGCTACTATGGAGGCTAATGTGAGATAATCACCTGAGCCTGGGAAAGTTGAGGTTACAGTGATGTGATTGTGCCACTGCACTCCAGCCTGGGCATCAGAGTAAGACCCTGTATGGGGGGAAAAAAAAGACACACATACACACACAAAACCTTTCAGTAAATTAGTTACGAAACAATTGTGTGGCAAGTTATGGTACCGAATGTATATTTCTCTTTCTTTTTCCTTCTCATTTTCATAAATTTGCTTGTCTCAGTTATTTATATCTTTCTACTAATACATCAAAGATTTGTGTATAGATTTTGATTTGTTTATAGATTTGTATATAGATTAGATCATGTTGTATGTAGATCGTTTTTAAGAAAATATACTTTAAAGTTAGAATTTATAAGTAGAGGGTTAATGAGCAAATCTGTAGACAGAAAAATTTTCATATACCTTGTTTGAATTACACCTTCAGTCTATTTTTCAAAAGTCATTCAAAAAGTAACAAATTTTAGTATTATAATCAATTGACGAAAGCTTTTAAACTCCTGAGTAAAATAACTCTTAACAATTTCACACACACACACACACACACACACACACACACACACACACATCTCCAGAGGGATTTAGCTAGTTGATTTTGAACATTAATGATATATTAGGATAAAATAGGATTTATAAATTAATTAGATAAAGTTTCTCGTAAGATCAGTAAAAGTACATGATTATCATCTCGTCCAGCTACCATCCAGGTCCATTGTATTTCCTTATATTAATAGCTAATCCAATGTTGTTGACATATCCCCATTGAAAAAGGCTCATCAGCAGTATATCCTGGGTATACTAACGACAGAAATCATCGTTGCTCCTGATAGGTTAAAAAGAACCTTTAACCTTTCCTATTGTACCCTCATCATCATTTTTGTAATCTTTCACTCCTGATTTCTTCCTTGAATTTCCTCATATTATTGAAATGTGATACATAAATCTTATATAATTTTTTTAATGGCCAATTTTAGGATACCAAAAAGTTACTTATCTTCTTTGAATTATCTCCTCATTTAATACTTGTTGAATTTTGTAACACACCCATAAGGCCATTCTAAATTTGTATCATATTCAGATGTAGTAAAGTCCTTTTGCTAAATCATAAGAAAAAAATCTCACTTATTTGTCCCTTAATATGTAAGAATTGTTTGTCCTTTAAGTTCATTTTTCTGTTTTTCCTGGGTAAGTTCTAATACTTCACATGTTTGTAGACTCCTCATTCAAAGATAAACACTGTTTGTTACTTTAAAGAATAGTTTTGTTATAGTTTTACCCTTTAAAATATAAGTATTGTAAAACTATAGTCTTTTTTTTTTTTTTTTTGAGATGGAGTCTTGCTCTGATTCCCAGGCTCTGGAGTGCAGTGGCGTGATTTCGGATCATGGCAAGCTCCACCTCCCAGGTTCAAGCAGTTCTCCTGCCTCAGCCTTCCTGGTAGCTGGGATTACAGGCACGTGCCACCACAGCCAGCTAAGTTTTGGATTTTTAGTAGAGACGGTGTTTCACCATGTTGTTCAGGCTGGTTTCGAACTCCTGACCTCAAGTGATTCATCCACCTCGGCCTCCCAAAGTGCTGGGAATACAGACGAGAGCCATCAGGACTGACCAGTACTATATTCTTATGGGTTTATTTAAGAAATCTAGTATAGAAAGATACTAAACAGAAATAACCATAATTTAATAAACTGATGAAATACAGCAGTGACATTAGCACTTTTTAAAATAAAAAACAGGTATTTTCCAACACAGCAAATTTTATTTGATGAAGTTTTGAATAACAAGGGAAACTTCTGATCTAACACAGCAAGAAGGCATTATTACTACAACTTTTAGTTCAGATTTCAGTTTTCCCTGATAATAGAACCTTGTATCTGTAGACCATTTTGTGTTTGTAGTGTTAAGTCAATGGAACATGGAAATGTAATATTATCTAATTTTTTAAAATGTGTATGTGCATGTGTGTTGTGTGTTTACATATGTGCACCTGTGTTTGTGTTAGGGTAAGTGGAAGATGAGAGAACAGACATGGAAACTATAGGAACAGGAACACCACAGAAGTGTTTGAATAACTTACAAAAAATCTGTGGCCTTTAATTATATTTTTCTTTCCATATGATATTAAGCATGGTGTAGAATGATATTGTTAACATTACCTGTGCTTCAGATGAAAGATGTAATAGTTGCAAACAGGTGTATATGAAAACTGTTTTGGAATAGAACATGATTGACCAGTAAAATAAATTCTTAACTTATATAAGAGACTAGCTATTTTATTGAAAATGGTTGCTTTCTCAATAAAAAGTGGCGTAGGCTGTATCCATTATTTATTTCCTATATGAAAATAATTTCTACATTTTAAGTGTCCTAAAAACAACGTATTATGGAAATAGTGACATAATGTTACTGATATGTTACATAAAAAGGAAACATCCAAATGTGTGTTTGAATATAGAAACATTTGATTAAATATCCTCACATGCAACTGAAACTAGTGTGTTTAAGGTAATAAAGTTTCTGTTTAAATTCAGTTACCTGTATCCTGATGGGAGGAGTTATAATCCTGATTTAACTGGATTATGTGAACCTACACCTCATGATCATATAAAAGTGACACAGGTAAGGATAATTTCTGGAAAAGTATAATTAAATAAGTATATGCCATGCCTTTGAAATAAATAAGACTCTCTATACTGTAGTTAAAATCAGGCACAGGTATTTAATACAAAAGATACTTAAGGAATTCTAAGAGTTTTAAAGAGAAATTATATTCCTTTGTTACATTTTTTTGATATAAATGTATGTTATTAAAATTCTTGCTTGCCATATAGTATTGGCATTTATATGGGTGGAATAAAATAACTCCATAAGTAGGTAGATAGGCAGGTTGGTATAAGGAGAGAGTCATACTTTAGAAAACTACCAAAAAAAGATTAGAATAATTATATGCCGGGTCAGACGCGGTGGTTCACGCCTATAATCCCAGCACTTTGGGAGGCCGAGGCGGGTGGATCACGAGGTCAAGAGATCGAGACCATCCTGGTCAACATGGTGAAACCCCGTCTCTACTAAAAATACAAAAAATTAGCTGGGCGTGGTGGCGCGTGCCTGTAATCCCAGCTACTCAGGAGGCTGAGGCAGAAATGCCTGAACCCAGGAGGCGGAGGTTGCGGTGAGCCGAGATCGCGCCATTGCACTCCAGCCTGGGTAACAAGAGTGAAACTCTGCCAAAAAAAAAAAAAAAAAAGAATAATTATATGCCTTAGCTTTTAGAGTCAAATGGGTAATTGAAGCCTGTTGACAATAACAATAGTGTTTTTCTAAATCCATTTTTGGTAACCTCAGATTTGGATGGGAATGTAAGTTGTTAAAACCTTTCTTGAGAGTGATATTCAGTTATAAAAATCTAAGTGAAAATATCTCTTCACATTAGAATCTATTATGTAATAGATCACTTACACATGTACACAAAACTCTGTACAACAGGTATTCACTGTAATATTTTTGTAAAAGTGAAAAATTACAAATTCAAAGACATGTAATAACAGATTGAATAGAATAGAGTAATATACTCATACCGTACTGCATGAGGTCATCAGCAGGAGGGAGGTAGTTCTACATACTCACATGGGAACTTCTGCATCTTGTACTATAAAATAATTTCATTTGTATAAAGTAAAAACAGATAACATTTTGTTTGGCAAAGTTAAATTGTGTACCTTCAACTTCTGTAAATAAATAATCATTGCTGTATATGAACATATGAGTTTACTTTTTAAAAGATCAAAGAAACACCAAACTGGTAAGAGGATTTAACTGAGGAGGTGAAAGGGATTGCACAATCAGGGAGAGGATGGAGGGAGAACTTGAATATTTTATTTTATATACAGTCTAGTTTTAAAATATCTTATATTTGAGATATGTTCATGCCTTGTGTAATAAATAATAAAAATATAAGGGAAAAAACAAACAAGAATAATTATGGGTTTTTTTTTAAGACAGTAGATAATGATTTGCCTTATGATTCTCCGGTTTCAGTTCCTGTAGTCTTTACATGATGTTGTGAGACATACACATTGACATTTATATGTACATGCTGTACTTACAAATTTAATAACTACCATTTTATATTTAATATATGATTGCCATTTTAAAAGTTATATAGCAATCCTGTATTTTCTAATATGTGTGAAAGGGTACTCATGAAAGACAGTTTCTCTTTATAAAGCCATTAAAAAAATAATTCTTTGGAAGTAATAACATTCATTTAAATTACTCATAAATATTCTTACTGTTTAGGTTACATTTCCAGATGAAGTCTGCATCTGTGATTTTAGCTTAATGTAATGTTTTTGTAATTGCAAATTCATTTTTTGGATAGTCATAACCAATGTCAGTACTTATCTATTATTTCAGGGACATCAACAATTTATAACTTACTTTGGATTACTTTAGATTTATTTCTTTTCCATTCTTATGCATTCTCTCTTGTTTCTTTCCTTATGTTCCCCACCAAATTTTTGTATATTCACACAGCATAGTAGATACAGTTTATGTGTATATATATGTACCTGCATCTACATGCGTATGTATCCATATATGTATACGTATACATATTTTTCCTCACCAGGATTATAATATGTTTTAGTAGATACAGTTTATGTGTATACGTGTGTACCTGCATCTACATGCGTATGTATCCATGTATGTATATGTATACGTATTTTTCCTCACCAGGATTATAATATGTTTTAGTAGATACAGTTTATGTGTATACGTGTGTACCTGCATCTACATGCATATGTATCCTGTATGTATATGTATACATATTTTTCCTCACCAGGATTATAATATGTTTTAGTAGATACAGTTTATGTGTATACGTGTGTACCTGCATCTACATGCGTATGTATCCATGTATGTATATGTACATATTTTTCCTCACCAGGATTATAATATGTTTTAGTAGATACAGTTTATGTGTATACGTGTGTACCTGCATCTACATGCGTATGTATCCTGTATGTATATGTACATATTTTTCCTCACCAGGATTATAATATGTTTTAGTAGATACAGTTTATCTGTATATATGTGTACCTGCATCTACATGCATATGTATCCTGTATGTATATGTATACACATTTTTCCTCACCAGGATTATAATATGTTGTAGTAGATACAGTTTATCTGTATACATGTGTACCTGCATCTACATGCATATGTATCCTGTATGTATATGTACATATTTTTCCTCACCAGGATTATAATATGTTTTAGTAGATACAGTTTATGTATATACGTGTGTACCTGCATCTACATGCATATGTATCCATGTATGTATATGTATACATATTTTTCCTCACCAGGATTATAATATGTTTTAGTAGATACAGTTTATGTGTATACGTGTGTACCTGCATCTACATGCATATGTATCCTGTATGTATATGTACATATTTTTCCTCACCAGGATTATAATATGTTTTAGTAGATACAGTTTATGTGTATACATGTGTACCTGCATCTACATGCATATGTATCCTGTATGTATATGTACATATTTTTCCTCACCAGGATTATAATATGTTTTAGTAGATACAGTTTATGTGTATACATGTGTACCTGCATCTACATGCATATGTATCCTGTATGTATATGTACATATTTTTCCTCACCAGGATTATAATATGTTTTAGTAGATACAGTTTATGTGTATACGTGTGTACCTGCATCTACATGCATATGTATCCTGTATGTATATGTATACACATTTTTCCTCACCAGGATTATAATATATTTTAGTAGGCTGTGGCATAAATATTGTTATTTATTTATCCTATTCGGTGCCAGGCACATTGTAGTCACTCACTGAACTAAAAGTTACTCTATTTACCCAAATTTTGGTTTCATAATTCCTTTTCTTAGTATTCCTAACATCTTTTTTTCATAAATCTTTACCATGAAAAAAAGTACCAAAATTTACCAATTTGCTTGGATCTTCTTTGTCACAAAGGTCTTTTCAGTATTTGAATTTTGAAAATTTTACTGTGTCAAATGTTTTAAGCTAAAAATCTAATCAAGAACATTGTAGTTTTCATAAAAAGGTTTTTGGTTACTAAAGTGATTTCTTTTCTTGACATTGTTAGGGAAAGAGTGTGCACTTTTAGTCAGAGACTTAATTTGGAATTTGAACCAAACATTTTAAACTTATTAAGCCCCAGGTTTAACTTTTGTTGAGTTCAATGTATCTTCTTATGCTTTGGAGATTATGTGGAACGTAAGTGTGGACCACAGTGCCTGGCATGCGGGAAGAACTTGGTAAATGTTTGCTGCTTTTCTTCCATTCTGGGATTTATAAAGATATTGAAGCAATAAAATTTAATGTTTATCCAAGTATCATATTTTTTTTTCAATTTGACAGTTAAGTTAGAGGAGCATGTGGCATTTATAAAAAACATAATGTCCCTTCATATTCCTATTTTAAAACCATAGATTTTGTCTTTTGAGTCACTGTGACTGTTGAAACAAGTCCCTTTCTAAAGGAACAGTAAAGGAACATTAAATAATCTGAATCATTAAGAAGCATATAAGATAGATGATAAAAGTTCAAACCTTTTTAAAATGGATTTTGTAGACCAAATTGTGATTATCAATTCAAAACATATCTCAAATGGTAACAAAATTCTGACAAAATCAATTGTGAGATATTTACTGTGTGCCATTTTATTTGGGAAAATTTAATACTAACAATTCAGTTAACATTACTTTCCCCCCCCCACATTCCAGGAACAATATGAATTATATTGTGAAATGGGCTCCACTTTTCAGCTCTGTAAGATTTGTGCAGAGAACGACAAAGACGTCAAGATTGAGCCTTGTGGGCATTTGATGTGCACCTCTTGCCTAACAGCATGGCAGGTAAAATCATTAGCATCATGAATGTCTTTCTTATATATCCTACTAGTATTTCTCCTTTCAGTTTTCTTCTTAATGGTTTAGGGAGTAATGCTGATAAGTGTTTTATTTGAAATGATTGTTTAAAAAATTTATACGATTGAGTTGCTTTATATAATTGATTTTTATTTATCTTATATTTTGTGTCTTTTAAATGTATAACTTCATTTTATTAGTCATCAGTAGTTTTACTTTTATACTACCATGGATTTGATTTCAGGATGCTCACTTATAGATATTACCAGCTAAACATATTTATGCCATTTATTGTAGGTCAGAATCTGTTTGTAGTAGGTCAGTTTCTGAAGCCAAGTAAACCTTCATAGATAAATCTTATTTTGATATTTTCAAGTAAACCTCTTTTCTCCAGAGGAGGCATGGTTCGTGTCTCACATATGCTCTGCAGTGCTGAAATTGGAGAATCAGACAGGAAGTCTCTCTCCCAAATACTTATAGATCCCACAGAAACAGACATTAAAGTTTCCTATTTACTGAAGCATAATCTCAGACAAATTGCTTTCCCATCTGTAGCAGGCATTCAATAAATATAAATTGATTTGATATTTTATAGAAAGGTCTGGAGAATAACTGGTTTTCCCAATGGCTTTCTTATATTCCTTCATCTGTAATGAAGATTGGGGATTTAAAAGTGGATCTTTGGACAGATTTCCAGTTTTGAGTATTTGGAGGAGTCATGGAATACTTTGATCAGGCATTTTGAAACTGCTGTTTGACATAGTTATATTGAAGCTAGAAGTATATTGATACGGTTTAGAAAGCAAGTAATTAAGTGTTCTAGCCTTTTAGAAAAATTGACAGTGAAGCATATGGGTGACATCCCTACCGTATTTCTGAGCCATCTCAGTCCTTGACTTTCTTTGTCCAGCCCTGCACCTCTGCATTACTTGAGGAAGGATGGGCATTGAGGTTAACGGAATGGGGCTGACAGACTCAGAGGGGCACTGATACCTGCCGAGCTCCTTGCTTGGTAATAAAATATAATGATTTTCCCATTTTCAGAGTCATGAAAGGGCCTGCTTCTTTTCTGAATTTTTTTTAATAGATGAGGAACAGAGGAAGAATTAAGTAGTGAATTACAGTGATTTATATTTTCAAAATCCTTTCTGAATGTCCAGAGCTCTTTGCTACCTGAGCAACATTGTTCAAAATCCGTATACTTCTCTCTTTTGATATGCATTTGGTTTATATTTTATTTTAGGTTTTTCTTTATACCCTCTCCCTTATTTCCTTTTGTCCCTTCGTGATGTTGGTGAATTTTGCATATTATAGGGAGACGTTGGAGGAGATCATTCTCAACATAGATATTTGATTTCTATTTAAATTAACAGTAATAGTTCTGCAAACTTAGCAGTGCCTTTTAAAAACTGCATTCAATACATGTGGATATGTTGGTAGAATTGTTGGCAAATGTATTTCAAATGTGTCAGTAGGAGATATTTAGAGATACTGATTCAGTGATGGATCGTCTCTAATTGGACTACATAGGACTGGTGTACCTGATAATCATTCCGTGTTTCAGGATACATATTAAACTAACAATGAAAACAAATTGTGTTCGTCATCCCTCTTTGCCTTCAGTGTGGTAGTAGGGTTTTTATAGGTGGAAAGAAACGAAAAGCCTTGCATTTCTCCATTAAGAAAATCAGAATAATAGGCTGATACAAATTCCTAACACTCTGCCTCCATGCAGGGCTTGTGTATTTTAGCCATTTTTCTTGGGACTGCAGTCTTAGAGCACACACATGCCTACATGTTGCAGGACTTAACGTCTGTAACTCAATATTATGCTTAGTATTTGGAGGTTAAGTTAGTTAAAAGTCAGAAGCTGCTGTTAGTTTGACAGAAACATTTGTTTAGTAAAATATACTGTTTAAAGCATCAGGTGCTTACTGGCTGGACATGATGGCTCACACCTCTAAATTGGGAGGCCAAGGTGGGAAGATCCATTGAGCCCAGGAGTTCAAGACGAGCCTGGACAACATAGGGAGACCCTGTCTCTATAAAACAATAAATAAAACTTTAAAAAATAGTTGTTTACCTTGCAGCCTACTGTGAGTAGAAAAATATGGCTGAATATAAAGCAACAGATATTTTATTTTACTTTCTGTATACTTCTTGAAAGAAAGTTTATTTATTCTTAGTAAATCAATACTGCTTTCAGTAAGTCCTAACTTAACATTGTCAGTAGATTCTTGAAAACTGCAACTTTGAGCAAGTGAAATACTGTATGCGTAGGAACCTTAACTCTTGTTTCTATCGTTTAGCCTATGGTAAATTGGATTTCATTATACTGTAAGTTGTTGCATTTAAACTCTCAATTTCCAAGATTTGATTAAAGATGTTAATTGAGGACTTACTGTATTTATTTGTTAAGTTTGTGAACTATTTGTAATAGGTTCATTATGTGCAAAAGGCATGGGAACATTTCCCAGTTGTCATTCTGTATCCCTAATGCTGTGTCCTTTACATCACCACAGCGCTTCTGTGGGTTACAGTGCATTCTCCACGTTGGTGAAGTTCCTCTTGCTTGTTATCAATTCCTTGAATTATTTCATGATTTTTTAACATTGACCCAATGACCTTATATGAAGGTATGTCCAGTACTGTTGATAAATTCTTAACATTTACTATTTCTCTTTTTCACCCTGAACTGCTTCTCAGTTTTACTTTTAGAAATTGAGGAAGTACATAAATGTCGAACTCTGAAAACTGTGTTTAGCTAAAATTTTAAGTTATGTGAGAGAGCAGTAACAAAGTAGTTTACTAAGTAAAGTATTAACAAAAAATGATGAATTCCAAACTATTCAGAAGGTTGAAATAATAAATTACACTTATGTTACTAGAGAGTAATGTTATTAATATGATTATAGAATTTTGTACCTAAACTAATGAAAATTATGCAAATCTTTAGTTTCAGTATTGTCGTTGGATTCTCCTCAAACAAAGCAGCTCATCATTAATAAGTATTCTCCTGATACATTTTGCATATTACTCTGTAAGCTCATACCTCATTATATTCATATTGTAAACATTTCCATATTTATATATTTCCTTTTAGAATCTAGATTACTTTACCTATTTTAGAGTCTCTCTCTGCATGTTATCTGCGCATCAGTCGTTCTTCAGTAAATACTTACATATATTAGGTAATGTAAAGGAAAAAGAGGAAGTCTAAAAGTACATTAAATGAAAAGACAGTATTGCAGATTGATTGTGAAAAGCTCTTACAATAATTTTCTGAGAAGTATTTATGATCTTTTCAAAGACTTTTATCATATTCATTATCTGAGAATGAATCCTAGAAATTCTAAGGTTTAGTTCCATCTGTTTCATTCACTAGCTATTGTGTAATTTCCTTAACTTTTTACATTTTTATCTTTTCCACCCATTTTTGAACCATGTTATTTTACTTTTGTTGTTTGCAGTACTGCCAGCACTAACCCAGAAGCAGTAAGACTGTGTTTTTATCACTCTTTTGTACCAAAAAAACATGCACAGTGATCCCCGGTTTATGTTTTCTCTACCCCTAAAGACCCTAAAGAAAATTGTTCTTTGGTCAATAAATCTAAATTGATATTTCACAGTCTCTGTATCTCAGTGGGATCTTACTGGTCAAAGGAAGTTTCAACTTTTGAACATTTCTACTTTTGGATAATCTAAATAGTTTTACATTGAGATACAGTCTTCACGTAGTGGTGCTTCCTGCCAACTAACGTATCTGTTTTGGCAGCTTTTGTATTATTGCATGAACAGCAATGTTTGTTGATCATTTAAACATTTTATTGCAAAATGCCTCTGGTATTTAATAAAAATAAGAGTCTTACAAAGTTAATCTAGTTAAAGCACAGTTGTAAAACATTAGATATGCTGAAGATCTCGTATCTATAATCTCATCTAGCTACTCACTTAACCTAACTGATGGTAAATATGTCAGTGAGAAGAACAAAATTATAGCACACTTCATAGTTCCACAAAATATTGCCAGAAATTGTATCTAAACTTACATAAAGAGATACATAAAGAGAAATGTTTCAAAGGTATTAGGTCTCTGGACTTAGGTTAAAATAACTTATGTCTCTCTTTTTCAATTTTTTCCTCATTCAAAAATGGTTTAAAGACATTTTCTTAAAGACAATTCTACTTTAAAGACATTGTTTTTATTTTATATGATTAAATTTGCAAACTTAACTGTGCATGAGGAGAATTTGTTATTTTGCTTCTTCCCCTTACTGGTTTGGTAGAAGCAAACCTAGATGGTTTCCACTGTCATTTTCATTTATTTATTTAGGAAACATTCTTTGAGCAGCTACAATGTCCCACGTTATATACTATTCTCTGAACTAAGAACTCTGAGACACAATCCATAGCCTCAAGAAGTTCAAATTAAATCTGAAAGTCCTATTGAGGAGCATGGTATTAATAATTACTCGAAGTAAGTATCCTGTTATCCCTCTAACTTAATTATGGCTACTAGACATTTTTTGTTACTTTCTACTGCTTTGGTTGGGCATGCTGATATGAAAATGATTTTAAAGGCTGTGTGTCTGCCAAGAAGCTATGATAAATCAGTTAGAATCCAATAGGAAATATTAAACCCTGACCATAAATCATGCTATGCTTAGCAGTTTGTGTTTTTAGCAAATCATTCTCCACCAACTTTTCTTTCTGTCTGATGCCCTACTTTGGTCTAATTGAAATTCATTAGAGACTTAAATTTTATGTAGTTAACAGAAAACTTAAGAAATGCATAGTAGCTGTGTCAGTTAGTTGTTACAGGCTGCAAGTGGTTACTCTTTAATCGCTGTCATAATAGCCCATTAGTCATGCCTCTGAAGAGGTGTCAGATGCTTTTACCCTTTCTGAAACATCTGTGTTATTTAATAAATTGAATAAGCAAGCAGAGTTTGCACAGAATACTAAATAAGCTGAATAATCACCTTTCT